GTTCCAAGGATCCAGCCTAGGTCTTTAGGCTTGTGACAAGGCTTTTAGACTGGCTGAAGCATCTTACTGGCTGTAACGGCTCAAGATTGTGCCAGTCAACTATGATAAGTCAAACTTAGCCGGAAATGTTGTATTTTAATTTACTATTTTATTTTTACAGATGTATATTTATGTGTGATTTAACAGCACTTATTTTTATTGTCCAACATTAAACATACTTAATGATTGTATGTTTGTACTGATTATTGTTGACACTGAGCATTTTCATATGTAGCTCTTCATGTTTTATGAGTCTGTCTTTACCTGTTTCTCTTTCACCTCTGTTTTTCTCATTGTTTTGTGTGAATAGTATTGTGCTTTAATTACAGATTTAGTTGTATATGGATTGTATCTAGACAAGTGGTGGATTTTTATATATTAAAATAGTGCTACATAGCCTTACTACAATCACCTATGGATTCTAGGTTTTGATTGGCTTGTTGGGATTTTTCTGCACAGATCATATCATTTGTGAAGAAAGCCAGTTTTATTCCTTCTCACTATCATTCTTGTATTATTTTTTGCCATGTGTTTTTTCTTCATCAATTTTTTATGTTTTTTGTTTGTTAGTTTGTCTAGGTGTTGGATTCTATAAAGTTATTTTTATATATTCTCTCAGTCTCTGCAGAGAGACCCTGTTACAAAAACAAAACACCGAGATACAGGGTATAATTCCATTTCTTCCCTGATGGAAATTGATGTTATTTGTTGAGGAATTATTCATATTTATTCATAAAAGATGCATATCCTTGTAATGTCTCTTACTGTAACATTATAACATGGTAACATATATATATGTGTGTGTTCTTTGTCTTCTTGTGTTTTTATTAATGGTTGCTTTTTAGGGATCATTTCATTTCATCTAATATAACACTTACAGAAATTCATTAAATTTCATGATATTAATAATGTTCATTGGATTAGCATGGGCAGCACTTTTTCATTGCCGATTATATTAGTTACTTTTCTTCTTCCTGTGAGAAAATACCTGGCAGTAAATAAATTAAGGGAATGAGGTTTTATGTTGATTTACATTTGGAAGGTAAAAGTATATATACTAGGCAGGTAGTACCTATAGTATTGGGCTGGACTCAGCTTTCCATCAATGATTTGGGTAATGTATCTGGAAAATTCCTGTGCATCTTTCTGAAAGTGCCAAATCAGCTGGGTTGCTGGAACACACTGCAAGCAACAGTTGAAGCACCTACTTATGTGCTGGATTATTTGTCTTTACCCCAGTCCTGGCAAGTCTTTGGGTCTTTCCTCAATCCCTTGAAAAACAGCATACATCTGGTATTGCTTCTTGTGACAGAGGGCAGAATCACTGCACTCCAAGAAGAATTCGCCTCTCAGGATGTTTGTGTCAGAGATCCTACCTAAAACTGTTCCATGTGGCACCCCCCCAGTCAATGTGTGTGGGTGCGCAACAGTACCCTGAGATGTCATTACAATGGACTGGCTGATAGCTAGAGTGAAGCCTCTAATGGCAGGTCTCTTCTCAGGATGGATATGCTTGTAGCACTCTGGAGATTCAGTGGGCTTTGTTTTGCCGAGCTACGTTGCTAAGCTTACTCCAAGTTCCAGATTTATTAGAGCTGTTCATCCAAGCGCTGTATACTTCTTTTGCTGTGAGTCTTTGTGGCAGTTCACTCAGCAGAAAGGAGGATCCATAATACAGTGGTTCTCAACCTTTCTAATGCTGCGACCCTTTAAGATAGTTGCTCATGTTGTGGTCATCTTCAACCATAAAATTATTTCTATTGCTATTTCATGACTGTAATTTGCTACTGTTGTGAGTCATAATGTAAATATCTGATGTGCAGGATCCCTGACGTATGGCCACAGGTTGAGAACTGCTGCTGTGGGGGTCCTGGAAGTAGTCCCTGGCCTTAAGAGTCCCCAGCCCCATCTTGTTCTGACAAGCCCCATTAGCAGAGCTTGCATCACCAGGTGACTTCAGTGCAGGGGATGCCTAGATCCCAGCGTGCCCTCCAACAAACTGTCACCAGGTGGGATTCTCAGTCACTTCTGCCCCGTCTCATCTAGATTCTTCACTAGGCTGGGTAAGCTTTTTGGACTACAAGTAGGACCATTGTTGGCCCCTTCCACCCTGCCCTCACCTTGGACCTAATGCAGCGACAAATGGTAGTTTCCACCTATCTCCAGGGGAAGGTCCTATTCTCTGGCTTTTCTTCATCTGTGGCAGATGGGTGCTAACTCTCCTCCCCTGTTTTCACTCTAGGCTATTTTCCTTCCTCCAGTGGGGCACAAAAGAATTAGCCTTTTCTACATCTTTTTTTTTTTTTTGCACCTCCCTGCCCACTCTTCCCAAAGTTATAGTTCAATCTTCTGTTTACAAACTACCTCTGGACAATTGTATTGTTTTTTGTTCAGTGTTCATTCTTAGACATCATTGCTGCTACTACCAGCACCAAAAGTTCACCCTCCCCTTTGACTGCCCTCGCCCCTCCAGGACACGAGAGGAAGCAGGGCTGGGGAGCAACAGATTGGTTCCTACCCTGTCCCAGAGAAGATAGGGCTCTGCCGCTTGGATATTACTTGGATAAAGAGGGGGTCTATTTTGATGGGAAAAAAAGTATAGGCCACCTTCTCCCCTTGTTCTGTGGGAGAGGGATGGCTGGTATTTGTCCCTGCCTGGTTTCCTACTTGTAGTTCCTTGAATAAAAAAGTAAACAGGGAGAAGGGAGTGATATCTTGAACTCACTGAGTTCCATCTAAAACTCTGACATCATTCACATTATTTCATTGTTCTTTGACATTGTCTTCCTTTTTTTAATTTAATTCATTTATTAAGTGAAGAGACACATTTACATCCAGAGAAGCAACTGTATACTCTCTGTTGTGTTACTTTTTATAGAAAAGCATCTTGCACTTAGGATGGCTGTTTTCTGAGTTTCGCCATACGTTTTAATGTTAAAGGTTAAATTACTTTTTACATGCAAGTGGTGTGTTTGCCCATTTGGGAACAGCTGACATAAAAAGATGACATAGCACATAAAGTAACTGTCTTTTTAACTGAAAAGCTGACAAATTGTCTAGTTACAGTTCCCCCACCCCAACCACAAACTGGGTAGTAAACTGAATCTCTAGGCAACATATTCAAAGCTGAGAAGAATAAATAAAAAAGACAAAACTAGACCTCAGATCCATTTAATAGGACCCAGCTGCCTGTACACGAGCTTAGCAGCCGCAAAGAGGCAGGAAGACATCCTAACGACCCCCAATAGTAACTTCAGGTTGCCTGTTCCAGTTTCCGACTCATGAGCAAAGATCATGTTTTGTTAATTCTGTTTCAGGGTAATTCTCATAAGTTATTTTATTTTCAATGCCAACTTTGAAAGGCTCACTGAAGTTAACTGGACAATGAACTAGGCAAAAATCACCTTATAGAACAAGGGAAAACCCAAAATGCCACTTTCCTTAGAGAACCTATAGTTCAGTTTTATTCAGAGATGAGGGGGAAAGTGCTTACGGAAGAAACTCAGCCACGATCTGATCTGTACTGGAACTAACACGCAGGGAGAGCAAGGCTGTGTTTGTCTGCTGGTCTCTAATATTAGCACTATAAACAGCAGTGCAACTAGCCTTTGGACCAACTCTTCTAGGGTTACGCTGTCGGGCACAGCACTTCCCTTCTCTTCACACCACTGGTTCTCTTTGCATCCCTGGGCCGCCTCCTCTTCAGTAGTCATTTTTGATATTGAAGGTTTTATGACTCTCCTCAGGAGTTTTCCTCCTAATCATATTGGCCACAGTCTTGCATGTAACATCAAGCAAACCTTTGATGTCTAAGTAGTTTGCAGCCAGAATAAGTTCTAAGAGCATTCCTTGTCAACTTTCAAGAGTTCTTGGTTCTAAACAGGAATACCATCTGTCTGCTTTTCTTGGTTCTCATCACCCTCAGGAGGAAGAGGGTCATCCTTATGGTGGGTGTACCACTGAATGACCATTTTCAGACTTGCTGCATTAACATTTGGTAAAGGCACAGGATCATCATCTTCATCATCCATTCCCAAATCTTCCAGCATGGTCTTGATGGTCACATATTGTTTGGCATTTTCTACTTCAAATATTTCTCCATCAGAACTCTGCAACTTTATTGAAGGTATGGTACTTGGTCCCAAGACTGCAGGCCTAAGGCTGATGGACAGTGTTCACACAAGAAGAAAAACACCAAGGACAAGGCCACTGACATTTTCCTTTTTTTAAAAGTAATGTTTGTTATTAGCTTAATAAATTACTCTTCAGAATTTTTGTGTTTACTTTGTAAGAAATCCAGTACTTTCCAGAAGTTTCTCTTAGTACAGGCACAATAAATATATTGTGAACTCCATAAATAACAGGTTATGACAAAAAATGATAATTACTGTCACAACAGTTCAATAAAGAGTCATTATTCACAAGTCACTTCGGGGATGATCAAGTAGTCTCCCTCCGATGATCATATTGGAAATTTTCAAGCACTTAGAGGGAAAACAGGAGTTAAGCCAAGAACACATTGTTTACAGAAACTGTATGGGAACATTGTGACTGCCTACCCCTTGCCATCAGTCTGTTGACATCTATCCTAAGAGCAATATCTAGACTCCAGCAAAAATCAAACCTTGAATTCAGTCATTTCTAATACTATGTTTAGTCAGGACAGCTGGTGTTCTCTGTGTGTGCACAAAGTAACAAAACTGTTTTGAGAGGTGTTAAAGTGTGTACCAAGAAAAATTGCAAGATCCAGCAGCATAGTTGGTTGTTCCTGTCCTGTTATTTTTTTAACAAAGAGTTCTCATCCAGTACAGGAATTTCTGTGTAAGAGGGCTCTCCTTATGCATGGTGAATAAGAGAGTCGTGACCTTTGCAGAACACCATACCCTGTGAACTTCTTGCAGAATGCATCTAGATTACAATGCTGTGAATGTTATTCTTATTCCTGATGTGGCATGTTTTAGGACTGTCTAACTTTTGAGGATGTGGCTGTGAACTTCACCTTGGAGGAGTGGGATTTGTTGGATCCTTCCCAGAAGCAACTCTACACAGATGTGATGCAAGAAACCTTCAAAAACCTACTTGCTATAGGTAAGGACGAGCTTGTTTTTTCACTTAGTAATGAGAGACAGATCTGACTTGCTCCCCAGTGCTGCTCAGTGGTTTAGAATAGGAAGGGTGGATGTGGTGAATATGCCAGGCATAGGCATGTTATATTATACACCAATTTCATAATGATTTTTCTCTTTCTGCCATTTTAGGACAAACTGAGGGAGTCCAGAGGATTAAAGATGATAATGAAGATTCTAGGAGAAATTTAAGGTAATCTGTTCCCTCCAAATGAAAGGAGTGTTGCGCAAGAATTTGTGAGTCAGAGGTAAAGAGACAGCTCAGTAGTTAATAGCATTGTTCTTTCAGGGTGCGGGATTAGATTCCCAGCACCACATGGTGGCTCACAACCATCTGTCCAGTCCCAGGAGACTGATGCCCTCTTCTGTTCTCCTCAGGCACTGCATGCAGGTATTGCATAGACGTACATGCAGGCAAAACACCTGCATGTGAAATTAATAAAATAAATTAATAAAATTAAAAAAAATAGTAATAAAGAGAACATTTTTTAAGAATGTAGAAAATTTAAAAATAAGCTCAACTTAAAAGTAATTTATTCTGAAACAATTCTATAATAATTCATAGATCACTGGTGACATAATATACTAATAAGATGATATGGTTGACTTATAATCCATATTCACAAACTTTGTTCCATGTACAAAAATGATTTTAAAATGTGGGCTGGACAGATAGAAGGGCCAGGGGCATTGATGCTTGAGTTTAGTGATCCCTAGCACCTCCATTTAAACAAAAACTGGAGAATGGACTACCGTAGGGCTTTCTGTGCCTCAGCTTAGCTGGAAGGGTGAGAAGGTAGGATGAGTTCCATTTTCAGGAAGAGAGCCTGTCTCAGAAGGGTAAGAGGGGAGGTGGTTTTCTGGCCTGACCTCCTCATGCACACACCCACGCATGCACACATTTACCACACTCCGCACACTCAGGACTGATGAGATGGCCCAGTAGGCAGAGACCTTTCCCCGCAGTTCCATTCCAGAACTTGCGTGGTGACTCAAGAGGACCAGCTCTTACAGGCTGTACTCCAGTATCTACGCTGAGGTAGTGGCCTGTGCGTACTCACGCACTGATGAATCCCCCACCCAAACACACACTATAAATAAAGCCGTATAGGGGCTAAGGATTAAGCTCACCAATATCATTCTTGAACAGAACCTGAGTTTGTTTCCTAACATCCATGTTGGGCAGGTCACAGACATCTGTAGTCCAGTTCTAGGGGATCTACAATCACCACATTTATGTGTGTGCACACACACACACACACACACATACACAATCAAAGATAAAATAAAGATTTTTTTTAAATACAAAGAAATACTGCTTTAAAGTGCAAATAAATAATAAAAGAAAAACATGTGACATTGTCTTCAAGCTTTGAGTGGGAGGTATATTTAAAAAAATAAAATAAAATAAAGGGCCATCAAGATGATTTACTGAGTAAAGGCTCTTTACTGCCCAAGGCTGGTAACCTGAATTGAACCCAGAGCCCATATAAAGGTAGAAGGAAAGTACTGACTCCACAAGTTTTTCTCTGACCTTTATATCGCCTTCTTCCTGCTTACGTGGTAATAATAATTTAAAAGCTTGAAGGAATTTCTTCTTTCCACTGGTTCTCTAAAATATCCTGAATATATGCAAATATTTCAAAATCTGAAAACAGTTTTTTTCTTGGTTTTTCAAGACAGGGTTTCTCTGTGTAGCGTTGGCTGTCCTGGACTTGCTTTGTAGACCAGAGCTGGACTCAGACTCACAGAGATCTGCTTGTCTCTGCCTCCCACAGTGCTGGGATTGACCAAAACCATTTTTGTGGAAGCATTTTGTTCAAAGAATATATGTCATATAGAGGCATATATTCATTGCTGACTAATTAGCGATCTAACAGTTGATGGTAGTGAGTTCAAGGCCAACTTGAGCATCAGCAAGAAGCAAGACTTGCCAGAACAAATAAATAATGATAAATGAATGTGAAGGTGAATAAGTATACATAATGACATGGGCATTCAGTGTTTGCAGAGTATTTTACTTGGTAAAGGTGTTAACATTTTATAAATACCAGTATCTTCACACTAGATATCCTTTAGCACATTCATGTTAAAGAATTTTAGCCATGTAAAATATGAACTCTTCCCCTGACCAGTAACTTATAAATTTAAGTAATGTGCCTTTCTGCTTTGTACAGAAGTGGAGTGGTGGAGTTACTGTATGAACCCAATGAAGGTAGACGATGTGAAGAAATCTTCAGTGAGTTTCCAGATACTGTTGTGAGCAAGAAAACCCCTCATGGAGTCAAACTGTGCGGAAGTAATTTATGTGAAGACATACTTATTGGTCTCCCACCCCTAAATATGCATATTCCTGTTCAAACAGGACATAAACCATGTGAACATGAGATCTATGAAGACAGTCTCTATAAATTTAGGGGATGTGGGAAAGCCTTCATGTACCCTGAGTGCTTTCTGAAGCGTGAAAATGCTCACACCATAGAGAAACCATATAAATGTCAGCAATGTGGGAAAGCCTTTTCCTCTTCAAGTAAGGTTCGCAGACATGAAAGAACTCATACTGGTGAGAAACCCTACATATGTAGCCATTGTGGAAAAGCCTTCCCTAGTCGTGGTTCTCTTCGACGCCATGACAGGATTCACAGTGGAGAGAAGCCCTTTGTGTGTAAGTATTGTGGGAAAGCCTTTACTGGCCAAAGTTCACTTCCACGACATGAAAGAATTCACAGTGGAGAAAAGCCCTATGTGTGCAAATACTGTGGGAAATGTTTCATTTCTTCAAGTACCTGTAGAGTACACGAACGGACTCATACTGGAGAGAAACTCTATGTTTGTAAACTGTGTAATAAAGCCGTCACTACTCGTACCTCCCTTCGAAATCATGAAAGAATTCACAGTGGTGAGAAACCCTATGTTTGTGAACAGTGTGGAAAAGGTTTCATCTCTTCTGGTACCTTTCGAATCCATGAACGAATTCACACTGGAGAGAAGCCCTATAAATGTAAGGAATGTGGGAAAGCCTTCACTATACAGAGTTCTCTTCAACGCCATGAGAGGATTCACACTAGGGAAAAACCTTATGACTGTAAAGAATGTGGGAAAGCGTTCAGTGGTTACAGCTCACTTCGCCGCCATGAGAGAATTCACAGTGGAGAGCGACCCTATGCATGCAGGCAGTGTGGGAAAGCCTTTCCAGCTTTAGGGGACTGTCAGAGACATGAGCAAATCCACACTGGTGAGAAACCCTTCATATGTAAGCAATGTGGGAAGGCCTTCACTCGTTGTGGTTCCCTTAGAATACACGAGAAGACCCACACCAGAGGGAATTCCTAAGCATGACGTGTGGGAAGGCCTCCTCATTTCATGCCCTTTCCATAAAGAGTGTGACCATGAAGTTGTGAGGGCTGCCACTGGGCAGTCATGTAAAATTACAAACATAAAGGACAAACGTAAGAAATAGTTTAAAAATTCTGTGAAAATTCCCCAGGTTTGGGGGTACTATAAGTGTACATTATGGAAAGCTTAGCGCAAAGTAATTTATGTAGAATGCTCCAAAAATGTCCCCAAAGTTATATTACCCCATTAATGTCTTACTAATGTAGATATGTGAACTATTTATTTATACTTTAACTGTTGTAAATAAATGGTGGCATGACAGAACTTTCTGAAGTTTGCTTAAGAAATCAGGCAAACGAATATTTTTTACTATGTTACCTAACATTTTGAAGGATTTTAGCTGATTGAATGATGGAATGGCCTTTTGAGATGTGGTGTTAGCACAAATGAGTTGGCAGTAGCCCACAGTGCTAGGGCAAGGTTCTCCAGAAGGACAGATATGCTCTAAATTGGCTTCTAATATGATAGTGTTTCTCTCATGGGTCTAGGAGTCAAGGGGCCTGGAACTCACTAGCAAAATTTTGGCTTCCTGTACTGTAGATCTGGTTTAACAAAGGGAGGCACAACCATTCCTTTGAACTAGAAGCTAAAACACACACACCTCTCCCCAACCCTGTGTACTCTGTGTTGCTTGTGCACTTCCGTTAACCAAAAACAGTTACTAAAGGGATTGATCCCTACCGGGGGTCGTGAGACTGCTCTTCAGTATTGGAGATAGGCTATTTTTGCCTACTTGACACAAGCTGGGAATCGGGTAGGGAGGACACCATTAATGATGCCTGTGACAGGGCTGCTGTGCGTGGTGCCACTCTAAGCAGGTGCCCTGTGTTGTGTAAAAAAGCAGGCTGAGCAGGCCGTGAGGAACAAGCCAAGAAAAAGTCTTCCTCCATAACCTCTGCCTCATATCCTACTTCTGTGTTCCTGCCAACTTGAGATTCTACCCTGGTTCCCTTAGGGCTGGAATATCAAGTGTAATCTAAAACAACCCTTTTCTCTTCAAGTTGATTTTGGTTAGTGTTTTAGCAACAACAACAAAAAGATCAGACTAGGGCATGAGTAAAGGAGGAGTATTACTGGAGTCCTTAGTGTCACCATGTCTGGCCACTAAAACCCATGGGAAGTTTGAGTCACCTCTCAAGGCAAAGAACTAGTTAATTTGGGTATATGATGTTTTTATTTACAAAATTTTTATACTAAAATTTGTTTTAACTTAAAAATGTAAAAATAATGCTTAGTGCTTGCTGAAGAGGAGGAAATACAAACTGACACCAGAAAAAAGATCCTTATAAATATGTTAACCTGTGGGACCAGTTCTAAAACAGGATTCTGACTGTATTCACTTTTATTTTGTTAAGAATATATGTATTAAGCTGGGCATGGTGGCATATGCTCTTAATCCCAGCACTCAGGAGGCAAAGGCAAATGAGTCTCTGAGTTCAAGACCAACTTGCTTTACTAATGAGTTTCAGAACAGCCAGGGGTGCGAATGGAGATCATGACTCAAAAATGTTTATTTTTATAGTTGATAATTAGTTTTGATTGCCAGTGTGACAAAATCTAGACTCACCTGTGAGATAGGCCCCTGACAATGCCTATAGGAAGTTATCTTGGTTGCATACATGACTATGACGGGGGAAGACTCACCCAGTGTTGGAAGTGCCAGTGCCTGACTGGGATACACGGGTGTGTCAAAGTGGGGAAAGTCAACGAGCTGAGGGCAAGCATACATGCACTCTTTGCTCTCTGCGTTTGACTGTGCTTGTAATGTGACGGAAGTATGAGCCAAATGAATCCTTCTATGTTGCTTTTACCTGGATATTCTGTCCTATAACAAGAAATGAAGCTAAGACATTATACACATATATTAAGCAGATATTCGTGTTTTCTTTCATCTCTTCCTTTACCATGTAATTGACTTAATATCAGTACTGGGTATTGCTACGTATTGTCATATTTAATTATGGCACAGTAAATGAATAAGCATTTCTCAAGGGACTTTGACACCTTCTGGAGAAACAATGTTTTCAGTTGTACATGAAATTTATGTTAGGTGAAATAATCTTGTTATTGTCTTTATTTAGAAGTTGTGTATTGTTGACTTTCCTGTTCAGATGGGAAGGTGTCCAGAAAATCCGCAGCTCTGAAGCCTGGGAACCACTCAGCTCTGCGGTGGTACAGTGCCGCAAGGCAAGGGTTTCCTGAGACATGGGAGCCCAGGACCACAGCTCTGAAAGGAGGCCTCCTCAGCAGAGGTGTTGCAGCTTCCCAGGGAGGGCTTCCCCAACCCCAGCTGAGCTGAGCAGCAGATGAATCACACCAAAAAAAGACAGCAGAAACTGAGCAGACACGGTCTTTAGATAGGATTTTTTTTTTTTTAAGGGGCGGTGCTTTCTAGGGCAGAGATTTCCAGAGTAGGGATTAGTGGAATTTCAAGTCTTGGGTTTGGAAGACCTTAGGGATTGGTGGGCTTTTCTGTTCAGGTATTGGTGGGAGTCTGTGGGAAGCTCAGGGATTGGTGAGTTTTCCTGCTTAGGGATTGATGAGTTTTTATTCAGACTTCTCACCTAAAATTAGCATAATCTAGGAAAGGTCCCACTGAGGGTCTGGAGATGGCCTTTGTGACAGAGGCTGGAACTGCTGTTCTAACAGAGGTGTGGGGGGAGGGCCTACTGGGGTTTACACAGATGGGAACTCTAAGCTAAACAACTGTCTTTAACTCTGAACTTACACTAAGGGGTCAGATTCTGGTCCCTGGCAGACAGTGCTTGGGGCTGCAGGGAGCAGGATACTTTATACATGGTGGAGCAGAGATCAAAGGAGCTCACAGACTGCTTCCAGGTGGATGCGCCTCCCTCCCTGAGTCCCTGTCAGCAGCAGCCACAACTGTGGCTTCAGAGCTTTCCCCAGGGCTACAGCTTTAGGTGTCAGAATTCACCTTCACTGAGGCAGCGTTTTTCTTGTTTCTGCCGCATATGATGGCTGGCTCTAACCTTCTGAGGGGTTGTGCTGCCTCTGTCTCCTCCTCAGTATGGAAATACTGAGAATACAGGGGTGTGTTGCTGCATCTGGTTTTTCTTTAAGTTCTGGAGGATTTTTAACTCAGGTTCTCTCACTTGGTAAGTCTTTTATTCACACCAACCTCCCCAGACAAGAAATGCATATTTCTGCAGTTGTGTCAGCATTTCTCATCATAAAATATGACTTTCCTGGGAGTGTGTGTGGCTAATTCCAGTCATCTAGACTAGTTTCAGCTTTTATACCTAACTCAAGTATTTCTTACAATGCACTGAACAGTCCTCCAATAAATGCAATAGTCTTCAAATCTGCTAATATTTGCTTCTGTAAACGCACACTGAAATGACTTCATAAATTGAAAATGACTGCTATACTTAGTGAACTTCAAAGCTAAGCTGAGAGTAATTTGAATATGTTCAAATTGAAGCAGGCTAGAAAGAGAAAATTGTGAAAAAGAAAAGAATCCCTTTTCTCTCATGGTCTTCTCATCCGTTCTCTTTGCTAATAAAAGCAGGAAACTGAAAAACTCCATCAAATTCCTTCTCTCAGGGCTCAGGGAACATTGAAGAGGAGGAGGCAGAAAGAGTATAAGAGCCAGAGAGGAAGGAGGACACCAAGGAAACAAAGCCTTCTAAACACAGCAGGACCAAAGCACATAAGAACTCACAGGGATGGAGGCAGCACGCACAGGGCCTGTGCCAGATGGGGTCCTAAAACTGAAAATAGACTAGTCATGTGCCCTCATCCCTAACCCAGGAGCTAGCTCCAATTAATAAACACCCGCAAATGGAAAATTTAGCTTTCTCCAAGGGGAGACAAATCACTCCTCAGGGTCAGTCACCTGCACAACAGCAGATGGCCAATGGAAAACAAACTCAGTGCATCTGTAAAGGTCCCTTCTCTCACCATGTCGTGGAGGTGATATGTAAGTTCTCCAGATGCTTTACATATGTATTATGGCTTATAGTTTCGTGTTTTTATGGGATGCCTGAGTGTGTGACCATGTGGGTCCCTGCCTCTATATTTGTTTCTTGTGCCATTTCTCGTCCTCTTTTTGTTTTGTCCTATTCTGTTGTGTTTGTTTTTGTTTTATTTTCTAACATTTTATTTTATTATTATCACTTAGATGCCTGTTTTTTTTTTTTTCCTAAGGACAGACAGAACAAAGGTGGATCTGGATGGGAGAGGAGGTAGAAAAGAGTTGGATGAGTGGAGGAAGAGGAAAACATATTCAGGATAGATTGTATAAAAAATATCTACTTTCAGTAAAGGCAGGTGCATGTGAATTGCTATGTACTAGTTTTATGAAATATGTGTGTGTATATACATACATGTACACAGTATATATATTGTATGTGTATATACATATATAGGGGTTCATGCAGCACAGCATAGTTTCAAATTAACTACGTAGCCAAGGGTAGCCTTCAACGCCTGCTCCTCCTCCTCCTTTTCCCTAGTCCTGAGATTGTAAGCCTTGTTGGTCACCAGCAGGACTTGCAACATAGCAGTGGCTGGCCCGGTGTTCACTTGTAACCCAGGCTGATGCCAAACTCAAGGCAATCCCCCTTCCTCAACTTCAACTATGATGAGATTGCAAGTATATGAAGCCCCCCCACCCCACACACACACACTGGGTGTAGACATGGCTGCTCTTCCAGAGGTTGAGTTCAATTCCAAGCACCCACATGGCGACTCACAACCATCTGTAATGGGATTTGATGCCCTCTTCTGGTGTGCATGAAGACAGAGTACTCATATACATAAATAAATCTTTAAAAAGGACCCCACACCAAATTCCAAAGGCAAACTATTTTGTAGATAAAAGATTCCACAAATGAAACCAAAGAAAAGCGATGGGCTTCACTGACAGGTCATACTCAGATTAAACACACCGGTAATGTTAGAGACCACTTTCATAGTACAAATGCAGCTCAAGGTGATCCTTCTCCTGAGCATAGGAAACCTAAGCAACCAAAATTTTACCCTAGAAATTGCGGCACACACTTGCTCTACTGTCAGCTGCTCCCACCCTGGAAACAGAATCCTCCCTCTCAGAACATCTGTGATCAGTAACAAAACACATGAGTTGCCAAGAATTATTTGAAAGTCTTGGCCTGTGATGTGTTCTGCTCCCAGCACTCTGACACAACAATTAGATGTCCCGCATTTAAGTTATGGATGCCATGAAGAGGACATAGTTTAAACCCTACGAGAACTCAGAACTGCCTAGGGATGGTTCAGCAGTTTAAGCAACTGGCTGCTCTCCCAGAGGACCAGGGTTAGATTTAGAGCTTCCACACAGTAACTCACAACCATGAGCAGCTCCAGTTCTCGGAGATCCGATTTCTTTTTCTGACCTCCCCAGGCACCAGGCACATATGCTGTGCACAGACATTCATGCAGGCAAAACACCCATACACATACAATTTTAAAATAAGTAAATAGTTTAGAGCTGAGTCTCTACACAGCATTCCCTACTGAAAACAGCCATTCAAAGCATCCGTGTGGGGCCTGGAGAAATGGCTCAGAGAGTAGTCATATAGTACTGAGTTCAGTCTCCAGGACCCACACGATAGGAGAAAATTGAGTCAACCTGTCCTCTGACCTATGCTCACATACCTTGGCATACTCGTACACACACAAATATATAATACATATATATTGTCTTTATTTATGTGTATGCTGTATGTATGTATATATACACATATATTGTTTTTCTGTATATATGTATATATTTAGAGTTCATGTATATGCTCTCTCTATATAGTCTTCATCCCCCATGTGAAGTTATCGAGAGAAGATATTGTATGACATCTCATTAGCATAAACTCAGATGCTGCCTGAAATGTCTCAAGGTAAATAACGATTTACCTATTCTCACATAATATATATACATATTATAATTGATTAAATAAAATGGAATAAGCTAATGGCGATACGAAGCTATATTATATAAATGCAGGTTTATTGGGAACAGCACAGGGAGTGGAAAGAAGATAGTGTACTGGGGGCAGGAGAAGGAAGATGGGCGAAAGGAAAGAGCAAGAGCGAGCAGAATGGCCCTCTAATGCAAATTGGTTAAGCTGCTGCCCCCTCTCTGCCCCTGCCTTACTAGGCCTTCTGCACTGAAAGAGCGTCTCCTTATAAAACTGTGCCTGCTTCTGCTGCCAGTGCTGTTTGGGTACTGAAGGAACTGAGGATGGCAGGGCTGGCTCCATTTTGCTTCTCAGACACTATCTCAAGGTGCCTGTTCTTGGAGTGACTTGGCCCCCACCTTCAGGCTCCGAGAAGGGGCCACCTGGCTCTCCACTCCGCAGGTTGTCATGGATACCACAAAATGTGTAAACAGATAACTATAATCAGGCCTCCACCCCACAGGTTGTTATAAGTGCCACAGAATGTGTTAATGGGTCCTCCACGCAGCAGGCTATCATACAGATATCGTAGATATCTTTCGGTTTGGCCAGGTGGCTTGGGACAATTAGCCTAAAGGTCACCTCGATTGATGAACACCCCCTTCCACCACCCAGTCACCCAATCTTATCCTTCCCTGTATCGCCTCCCAGCTTGCCGTTTTTCCCTTTAAAAACTCTGCCCCCCTGAGATTGGGGCCTCACTTTCTAACCCGCCACTTCAGGGAAGACTGGAGGCCCCAGCTTAAGCTTGAATAAAATCTGTGTGGTTTGCAACGGACTCGACTCCTGGTGGTCTTTTTGGGGTCTCTCAAATCCGGCACAACAGAACCTGAATTCCCGGAGCGGGCAGGGGTATCAACCCTGACATCAAAAGCTCAGTAACAGCTACTTCTGAGAACCACACTTCTCCCCTTCCACTTGAACCACCAAAGCAAAC